AAATGTTTAACTCACATGCCTGTACTTTGTTTGGCTGGAAACCACAGGTGTGGCTTCAATTCCAGAGCTGAAGGGCAGCTAGGGGCCATAGTCTCAGTGGTTCCATCAGGCTCTATTGGACCAGCAAACCTGGTTCCCCACCATCTTGAAAGAGGTCTTTTGCAACAGATTTGCCCAAATGCAAATGTGTGTAAAACAAAAATGAACGAGAAGGCTGGGCACAGGTCACAGCCATGATGTTGCTTCCGGGGATGGAAGAGGAGGACCCGCTGGGGGTGGACTAGGAGTCGGAGCTATCACTTGCCGGTAATGTCCTAATTCAATACTTAACGTCCTCATATATTTGTGTAATTTAGAAAAGAACCCACAACTCCTGGGAACAGATAGGCCAAAACATTACCCAGTTGCTGTCGATTCAATTCAGGGCGACCCCCCGTGTGTCAGAGTCGAAATACTAGGCTCTCGGTTAGCGACTGAATGCACTGTATCCCCAGGGCCCCCATTAATGCTAGGCAGTAGGAACACGGGGTGATTACTGTTTTCTTCTTTATACCTTCAAGTGTATTTCAAACCATTCTCCAAAGAAAATAAAGAAATCTCAGACTCCTAACCTCAACTGGCAGTAGCGACACGCTTCACTCTTGCTTTCTGCCTTCCAGAAAACATGGACACAGACCTGCCCGCCAGCCTGGGACAGAGTGAGGAGAAGCCCGTGCCTGCCGCCCCAGTGCCCAGCCCGGTCGCGCCGGCCCCCGTGCCATCCAGAAGAAACCCGCCTGGTGGCAAGTCCAGCCTCGTCCTGGGTTAATGCCAACTGTCTGAACTCCGTCGTTGTGTCTGTCTGTTTTCCCCATGCTTGTGAACTGCACATCGTGAGCCTGACTGTACATCTTTTGGATTTTGTTTCATTAAAAAAGAAGCACTTTATGTACTGCGGTCTTTTTTTCTTTTTCTTTTTTTGTCCTTTTTAAAGAACAGGTTTCTCTCTGTCCTGACTCCTGGGTCTGTGGGCCATGGCATGAGTGTTTTCTAGAAGTAGACTTGAGGGACAGCTTTGTGACACTTAGTACTGTGTTTCTAAGAACAAATAATTTAGTTCCAAACGTGGTAGAGGCTCTTTTGTACTGCAGTTTTTTAAACCCTTTTCTTGTCAGCTTTACTTGGGTTTACCAAGCCTTGACTGGGCGACCAGTGAACAGTCCACAGGCACCATTCCTCCCAGCCCCCAACACACAGAGCGTTCTTCACGCAGAACTTGCCCTTGGCGTTGCCCTAACTTACCAGTGTCCCTTGCTAGGAGGCATCTCCTATTCCAATGTGCCATACAGAACAGTAAAGAGGCCTATGCCTCATGCCTTGCTGCCTGCAAAGCAAAGAAACTGCCTTTTAATTTCACGAAATAAGCCTGCTCTTAGCATGACTGGCTGGCAAGCAAAGCCTGCGGCTCTCACGCAGAGGAAGGCTTAGGACGCACAATCCAACTGACAGGAACTAAGCATGGTGAAGCAAGTGGGGAGGTGAGTCACACAGAAGTGGGTCTTCTCAAGGGACTGGTGCCACGGGCATTTGTCTTATAATTGATGCTGTGTGCATGACGCTGGTGCTTGACCATGAACGGCAAGTCTCACTTTGCAAATGTCTGTTGTACTTCGCAACCCTGGACTGTCGCTTCAAGTAAACACTATCCACATTTTGAAACACTGTGTCCCGTGTCTTCATTGAGTGTGTCTTTTTATCCCCCTGCCTGGGGAGGTGCTTTTTTCTCTCTCTAACTATAAACAGTGCTGCCCACTGATGTGACGAGTCCTTTACAGTGAACAGACTATTGAATGCCCAGAAAGAAGTGGGTTGATCCCTAGAGAAAGAAATTCTCTAAAGAAAATGGCTCAAGGTCACAGCATGAGTTCAAAGTACCAAAATCATGATTAATTCCTGAGATCTGTAGTAATGGAAGCCAGGAATAATAGGATTGGCGGCTGACGTCTTGTAGATTCTTCTTCCCCGCTGCTGGGTCGTAACGTAAGTCCTCTCCACTTCTGAGGTGCATCACAGTGAGTCAACAGGAGAGCTCCGGAAGAAAGCATCACGTCATTAGAAGGTGATAACAGGAGTCAGAAGATACACAAACAAATTTTAAAAAAGCTTCCTGGGTTCTAGACTGACAGTTCCAGATCAACGTGGCCTTGTTAAGACCTGGCTTTGAGTTCTAGCTGTCCTGAAAGTTTGTGCTCAGTTTCCTAAATAGAGCTCTGCCCTTGGTCACCTCCAAGGTACCTCCCAGGACTGAGATGACTTCCAAGACTGTGAGACATATCTTTGGGAAGAAAAAAGGGGGTTTTCAGGCTGTGAGGGTTTTGAGTTCTTCCCCTGCTGTGGGAAGGATTTTGTAAGGTGGTGAATCATGTTCTACAGGTGTCTCCCAATATTAAAACAGATTAGCCTTGGAAGTACTAACACTGGCTTGACTGGTCTGAGTCAGTCTCTACTATGAATCTTCAGAGGTGGGGAACCTGTGCTCTCCTCAGCCTGTTAGTGATGGTGGGGCTTCTAGAAAAAGAAATGTCCCTGGTTTGTGTCACACAATGTGTGATTTTTTTTTTTTTTTTAAGTACAGCAGAGTCATCTTGGTTCTGTCAGATCAGATTTTAGGGACTCGTGTAACATGTTCAAGTTGCCCTGATGGCACAGGGGTCAAGTGCTCAGCTGTTAACCCACAGGTGGGCACTTTCAACCCACCAGCCACTCCTTGGGAGAAAGATGTGGCAGTTCACTTCCTTAAAGATGACAGCTTTAGAAATCCTATGGGGCATTCTAGTCTGTCCTATAGGGTTGCTATGAGTTGGAATAGACTTGACTATGGGTTTATGTAGGAGCTCTGGTAGCATAGTGCCTAAGGCATCTGATTGCTAACCAGAAGGCTGGTGGTTCAAACCCACCAGCCGCTCCTCAGAAGGAAGATGGGACAATCTACTTCCGAGGTGATACTGCCTCGGAAACCCAAGGAGGGGTCGCTATGAGTCAGGTCTGACTCGATGGCACATAACAACAACAACAACAACATGGGTTTATGTAATGTGTTCGAAGTGTGTTCAACTTTCCAGTTAGATAGCTTATAAAAAAAAAAAACAGACAAAGATCTTAAAATGGTGGCGATGATGACATTATCTGAAAGACACCCAAAGGGCAGCAGACAGCACTCCTGGGCAGTGTGGTGCCATTGCCTGGTTTGTGTGACTGGTGTCCTAG